GTAATTTTCAATTTTTAGTAGAGTAAGTTATTTCAGCCTTAATTGGTAGCTAATAGGTATCATTTAACATATTTTAATAAATTATTAAATGCTCTGCTGATGAATTTGTTTGTATTTATCGATAGGCCCGACTGATATGACATGCAAAGTTCTATCCGGTGGTAATTTAGGAAACGATCGCAAGGTCACTTTGCCAGAAGTTCCAATTGAAACAACTACATTGTCTAATCAAACAAAGCTTGATCTACTCTTTGCGGTCAAATATGAAGTATGTTTTCTTTTTTTTATAAATTTTATTTGAACAGCGATCAGAACTTATGGGTTCTATGAGCTGTTGTGATCAATATCTTACAAACTACGTTTGTTTTATTACAGATGGCAACCCAAACAGTTGTCACATCTCTGTATGATAAATTTTTATTACAATCTCTGTAATAGGGCAAGTATGGTGTAACAATGCCTGGTGAGGGCTATTTTCACTTGGAAACATTGCTATTTATATTTCCAAGTGAAAATCGTTGTCAGTGTTCCCTGACAACAGGCTGCTCGAATTGGGTATCGAACCCGGGACCTCTGAAACAAGTCCCGTCGCTCTTAACCGCTTACCTACGGGCGAGCCCAAGTATGTTCTCTTGAGAATGAATTTTCTGACAAATTACAAAAAATCTTATTCTATAAATTATAAAAAAAGATATTTTTTTTTGCCTATCTTACTAATAAGTTATTGAATTAGCTGAAATTATTTTCATATAAAAATTATGCTCATGCTTGACTATTTTTGTTTATTTTGCGATTTTTAGGTGGATTTCGTAATAGTAAAGCGCGTAAGATTTGCAGATCAGATAAAACAGTATAGAGCTGAGCTGGGAGAAGAAGGTCAGTACATCCAAATGATTGCCAAGATCGAAACACTTCAAGGGTTAGAAAATTTAGAAGAAATTCTGGAAGAAGCTGATGCTATAATGTTCTCCAAGCACGACATGGCTACAGAGATGCCAGTAGAAAATGTGTGCCTGGCGCAAAAATACGTTCTTGGGCGTTGTATACTGGTACACAATAAATTCATACATGATATTTATAAACACAAATTGCATATATATTTTTTACGTTCAGATCTCATTCATACTTAACACTAAACATACCATAACGGGTCAAATGACCCAATTTGAACTTTTGCATTGAAAATGCACGTATAATTTCATTGCGTTTGCACATTTGACTTCATGACTTTTTTTAAGTAATTAAAGAAGAGTTATAAACAATTTTTTTCTTGTTTTGTTTTGTTTATTCTGAGTAATCCTTCTTGTATACCGATATCTACCTCAATGGGAGAGAATTTTTTGATTTATGAGATTGTCGAGTCATATTTGTAGTCAGTAAGTTGCACATTCTTCTAAACACTGTTGCGTAAAGTAGTTCAACGAAAATAGCTCAGAATAATTTAAAGAAAATATCAAATTTTAGATTGAAAATAGCTTCTTATTGTTAGAAAAAGTGGCAGAAATTGAAAGTCTTGGTAAGTACCTTTTATTATTTACCCAGAAAAATGTCGAAGCAAACAAGACATTACAAGTTCTTAGAAGATATAAATAATATTGGCAAAGAGTTTTCAGAAATTAGTGAAGATGAATTTTCTGAAAATGAAGATATATTGGTTGAAAATAAAAATGAGTTTGATTCAACAGATACCGACGATGAAGAACACAATGATAAACGTTTACCTGAAACTGTTTCAAATTACAATAAAACCAAGTTTGGTGTAGACATGACCGATCAAATAGCGAGGAAATTTACTAAAAAAAATCCAAGTCTTGCAGATGGCCTCTCCAAGTTTTTTCAATATCCTTGATTTAGCTAGCATAAATGCCTGGATTTTGTACAACCAAACGACAAGAGAAAATATCTCGCGACAAGATTTTTTACTCAAGCTATCAGAAGAACTTGGCGCCGATTTTCGAGAAGTCCGTGAACAACCAAAACAAGAAACAAATACGAAATTATCGTTGCCTAAGTCTACTACAGATGCTTATAAACGTATGAGATGTCAAATAGGATACTGTAAAGAAAATAAAACCAACAAAATTTGCTCTAAGTAAATGTAAAAAATATGTTTGCGGAAAATGTACAATGGACACAATTATATGTAAAAAATGCGATTAACTATGAATTATTTTTTTTAATTTCTGCTTTTGTAATTAAAATGCTCAACATACTTTTTTGTTTAATTAATTTAATTTTTATCTTTATTTTCTTCCTAACATCCATATTTCATACATTCAAGCATGAAATATAGAGTCGGGTCATTTGACCCGCTATGGTAGAATTAGGTATATATTAAGTCTTGGTATGATTAGTTTTAAAACAACATACCTGACTAATGTACGTACTCCATTTATCAGGCCTCCAAGCCTTGCGTCTGCGAGGTACATACAGCACATGCTGGTACAACCGTAACAGTAAGCAGCCGAGCCATAGCTGATGCTCACAGCACAATAATCGACGGCGCCGACTGCGTCATGTTGGCAGGAGAAACAGCATTAGGCAGCAATCCAATCAACAGCGTCCTATTATTGGACAAAGTTTGTAGGCAGTCCGAATTATCTGTTTGGCAGACCCAGATGTACGGAGACCGTAACGTCAGGGTAAGAATATTCAAAGAAATCTAAAATCAGTAAAAATAATAATTAGTTTCGATACATATATTGTTAACAAGAGTAAGCTTACCAATAGCTTAAGTAGACAAGTGTTTTAGACCACCATTTCATTGAAATACAACAGCCATCAAGCTCATCTAAATAGCACAATATATTTAGTATGCAATCCTATAAATTGCTTAGATAATTATATTCCCTTGATAATTGAATGTAAGTTTTTCTTTCGCTGAATAGGCTATTCCGCCAAATGGTCCAGCAGAATCAATTGCAATAGGCGCAGTAGAAACATCAATAAAATGCAATGCTCAAGCAATTATCGTGTTAACAACTTCTGGAAGATCAGCAAAGCTTCTATCACATTATGCACCTAGATGTCCGATTGTGGCTGTTACAAGACATGGAAGGGTGGCTAGACAACTGCAGTTATACAGAGGAGTAAAACCACTTCAGTACATTTGTGAGTTCATTAAATTTTGGAATCCTAAAAAGCCATCAAGTTTAACTCTAAAAATAATTAGATTACAAATTTAGTCAAACCATTTCTTTAGAATCACTAGAGTAGTGAAAAAACGTTTTCATCGTTTTTGCGAAAAATCCTGAACAGGTGAATATTTAAACTGTTCGAAAGATATCAGTTAGGAATAGGATTTGGTAAAAAAAAATAACAATTTTAAAAATGATTAAATTCCAATACCTAAATCGATTATTTGCACTTACCCTTACATCTAGTTTGATTTTGCTCTGGTCGTAAACATCGTTAATTTTTGATTATTTGGAATTTACCATTTTTTGAAATAGATATTAACGAAACCTTTTATCCAACAACACTTTCTTCGCAAATTTTTTTAAAGCATTAAGATTGGTTGGTCGACCATCTATAAATACTACTACTACATAATAAATATACACAAATGTTACGCTTAAACGACTTGTTGCAATTTCAATCATTTCTATGGACAAAGTTAAATATATTATTTTGTCAATAACATAAAGGTCTCAATAAAATATATTTAATCAGATGGTATGCTCGAAGATTGGATGAAAGACGTTAACATTCGATTACAATATGGGATAAGTTATGGAAAAGTTAGCGGATTCATTAGAGCTGGAGATGCAGTATTAATGGTTCATGGATGTAGACAAGGAGCAGGATTCACTAATACATTAAGAGTAGTTTATGCTTCAGAATATGACACTATACCTGCATAAAATTAAAACCAAAAAAGATATTTTAATGTAATTCAAATGTATTCTGTATATTTACATAATCTTATTATCGTGTGTCTCTATTTTATATATAAATATATCACATATTTCGGAATTACCAAAGGCGATATTTGAAGGATTTTAAAATTGGTTTTGGACGTTTCAGATATTAATATAACTTGAAGGACTTTTTTCTTATAAAAATGTATTTATAAGATATTATTATATTATTATTATAAATATTTTTCTAAATAAAGAAACTGTATAAAACATTATTTTAATTTACGCTGTAATCATTAGATATTATGTGTAAGTTATTACGATTTTTTTATAAACCGGACCTGAAAATTCCAAAATCAAATAAATGTTAATAATCTTAAACAAGTTTTCTCATATGAACTTTAAAATGTCATCTGCGTATAATTATTGTAAAACCAGACTTAGTGATGACTAAATTTGAATAGAGAAAGTTATACTTCAAAAATACTGTCCGTTTAATATATATATATATATATATATATATATATATATATATATATATATATATATATATATATGCTAGATTATTTGGTATTTTCTTACGTTACTAAGCTTAAAATAAGACCTTAAACTATTTTTGTCCAAAATTTACATAAATGCAATTATAATTACTCTTTGCATTCGATTTACAACCATTATTACATTATGCTAAACTATCCTCATATATGAATATTGTTTAAATCCGCTAAATTATTTAGAGCATTAATGCCATAAAGTTATATTTGGCACAATAATCGCGACACATTTGATTAGTCAATATATTTCAAACTTACAGTAAAAAAATGCTGAAAAAGATATTTCATAAAAAAATAAAAATTTACTTAGAAAGTATATTGAAGTGTTAAAATAAAATAAAGGCCATTGTTAATGCTGTATTGTGTTCATCAGAAAACATTCCAATGATAATGTGTTTTACAGTTTTCAGCAAATAATTTTTTGTCAAAAGGATTAAATCATTATGTTCAAGTTTGTACTTAATGCTCGGTCTATCTATTGCTTTAATTTAAAATAAAGTATTTACTCAATTTTTGGCTCTGCGTATTGAACTTTTCACTCACATATACTCATTATATATATATATATATATATATATATATATATATATACATAATATGGGTTGAGTTCAAAGATGAACGTTACACCAATAAAAGATGTATAAATTGTTTATAATTTTATTTGATATTCCTGTTGCTGGCTAACACTCTACCCCTCATTCAATGGAAATAACTATAATTTTTACTTTACTTAAATCGTTATAAATTATTAACATATTTTTAATTATTATAGTTATTTTGCACTGCAAATAAACTTATAAACCCTTTAGACAATTTTTATTGATGTAAGTAATGCGCGATCTTTAAACTCAACTCATATTTAGTAAAATAATAAAATTAATATCACGCTATCATTAATTTTATGCTTTAGAACCACTCACGAGATGTGCTCTGCATACATTTTCTGGGCCTAAAATTTACGGCTAAGATCGAATAATCAAATTAAATATGAATGAAATAAGTATTTAATCAACTCGCCTTAATCCTGTTGGATCTTCGAGTGGTACACCTTTGGTGTTTTCATATTTCACAGCCAGATGCTCATTAAATATTTTCATTGGAACTTCCGCTTTCTGTGGAATCCTATGAGGAGATTTGGAGGAGTTCTGCTTCACAGGACTAGTCGATCCATGTTCAACATAAAAAACCGACTTTGAAGAAGACTTTGATGGGGAAGAAGTATTGCGATCCTTTTGCGCCATAGCCCTCACATATTTTTCGTCTGCTTCATAAGCGCGTTCGATATAGGAATCGCTTAATGAGCTGCCCACGCTATTATTGCTATGTTTTAACAATGAACATAACTGAAACAAAGATGCTAAGTGTTAGTAGCATTTTGCCTTTAAGGCAAGTTGCATGAATTTTCCGATACATGTAAATAATCAACTTCATCAAGCTAATTAGATAAAATTTATGCTTAATTGGAAAAAAAAGTTTTTGCTTTCACTAAAAACTAATCAATGTGCGGGTTCCAATTGATATCTTTCAGAATTATAATATATATAACTATATTTATTGTAGAGCACAAACACAATCTGGTATGTCCTAAAAGCGCAGCCATTATTCCAAACTTTAATGCATTGTTTTTTATTCAACCAATTTTCACAGACTATTAATATTTGAGAATGTTTGTATAGATTCTAATTGTTACCTCTTGTATTCCATCCAAAGCCTGAACTGCCTCCCGAGAAGAACCAGATGGTAAATTTTTTCTTAAAATTGATAAATACTGTAATAATTTAATTCTACTCAATGACATAACTGAATAAGCGTGTTGAAGCTCAGATCGAACACTATTGTATTCCTAAACAAAATTAGAGATTAGAATTTAAATCTTGAAACATAAAATAACAATTACAGTAGCAGTCACCTCTATTGAGAAACCATCGAGAACCCCTTTTTGATCACCAGTAGTGCTATTATTCCTAAAGAAGAAGTTTCATGTTAATTACAAAAGTTATTTGAAATATAAAGAGATAGATAATCAATAAATTTTTATATACTAGTTCATATGCTGCAATAGAAAGTTAATATGAAGATTTATATTTTACATAAAATAACTTTACTTGCAAAAACAATTTTGCAATTAGTTTTTATTGAGAAAATTTACTACCTAAAAGCAAGCTTTATGGTAATTGTTCATCATATTTTGCAATTTATGGTATATAAAATAACAATAAAACAAAAACATAAAATTACTTTCGTTATACATAACCAAAATTTTCAAAGTGGACTTGCTAGAATATCAAGAGCATTTTAGCATATATGAGTTCATACATTTATTTTATCACATAGATCTATTTATATCTCGTAACTAGGATTGATATTAGCAAATAAATTATATATCTATGTGTTTTTTACTCAGTATATTTAAGCAAAAACATTATTCAGGAATTTAATTCTATAAAATATTTACCTCCTTGTAGACGAAGTTCTGTCGAATAAGGAATTTCGCCTTATACTCGCAATGGTTTCTTTATTTACTATTGTTGTTGGTGTTTGACTCATAGTTGTTGGCAGGGTTATATAAGAAGTAGCCGTGGGCAAAGCGTAGAGCTAGAACATTATTAAAAAAATTCAATATATACCAGATGCAGATACTAAATTGAAAAATTATTAAAATTAAGAAATTTTTTAAATCGAATTAGCATCGAACAGAAAAACAAAGTTCTGTACCATAATATTTTTTAAAAAGAAATAGGAATGTGATGAAATAATTTTTGTGTTGCAATATTTTATATATAGTTTTTTTTTAAAACAAGTGTATTTTAAAATTACCTTTGGATGCATTAAATGTAGTGCATGCTCAATAATATATGTTATATCAACAGCCGGTGGATATCGCATCAATAATGTTAAACAAGTAGTGTAATCTGCTACTAACACTGAAAAAAAAAACAGAAAATTTAAATAAAATATGCATAAAAATTACATTTATAAATATTCTCACATTCATCACGAATGGCCATAAGCATAGCTACAACAATAAAATTTACAAGCCCAAAATTATCTCCTTCTGCAAATATGGCATCCCACAAAACAAGAAGATCTAAGAGTGCAAATTCTCTTCCAAAGAGCAATCTCAACCACCGTCTAAAAATAAATATGCATAAATAAATATTAAAAGATACAAGTTTAAAATATTGTAATTTCTGCATACATGCCAAACAGAGGAAGTGGTATGTCTAGCTTCTCAAGATGTTGCTTAAGTTCAGGATCATATTTAGAAAGTAAATTTATTCGAATCCAATTTAATTGCGTCACAACTTCATTTTCAGGTCGATAGTCTTGGACTTCCTGAAGAAATTTAATAAAGTAATAACAAAATAAAGACTTATCATTTTTAAAAGCCATGAGTATCATAGCAGTATTGATTTCCAATAGGAAGATCAACAGGAAATTTAATATATAGTTTTAGTAGTCATATATGTACATTATTTTAAGAGGTATAAACATATCTTGTACAAATAAATATATTGTTATTAATTATATTATTAATAATATACAATAACTGAATAAACTCACATCAGACTGGATTTTAGTAACCAATGGAAAGTATCCCCCAGTTGTTGGGATCATATCGTGAATTCTGTAGCAGCATTCTATACTAGACATAATGTGTGTAAATAATGTGCTAAAATTACATAAAAAATAATTAGAAATAATCTAATATTATATATGAATAATAATATTTAATTTATGATATTCCATACCAATTCACATTATTATATGAATATAATACTTACAATGAATCTGCTTCTAGATATTGTGGATTTAAAATTTCTATTATAACATCGCTGCAAAAATAAAAAAAATATATAGCAGTTATTAAAATTTAAACATGTATATAATTTATATAACTTACTTAATCAGTGCCTGATCTTTTACATGTAACATTGACTGATGATCACTATATAGAACAAATAACAAAGGTGCTAAAATTTCATGCATTCCTTGTCTATAACACATATCAGGATGTTCTCTTGCATAACAAAACAATATAGATATCTAAAAAAATTATAGTAGAATTATATTTTACATTATTATTATAATTTATAATGCATAATTAAGAGACAACACATATCAGGATGTTCTCTTGCATAACAAAACAATATAGATATCTAAAAAAATTATAGTAGAATTATATTTTACATTATTATTATTATTTATAATGCATAATTAAGAGACAAATTAATATTAATATCATGATCATACCATAATATTCTGAATATCTTCTCTCCGGAAAAAGTCAACTCCTGGAAAAGTTCTAACAACATCTTGTTTTATAACACCTATTAGCTCCTGGTCACAAAAATGTTTATTCCAAAGACTCTAAAGCCAAAAAATATCTATGAATAAAATGCTATAATGATACACATTTTGCAAGAAAAAATAATAACTTTACCTCATCGTTTCTAGATAATGGGTCATCATCCAAAATTTTATTTTGTCGAGGATCTGAAATCATTTCACTTTTTAGACCAGCATATCTTTCTCTTTGTTCTCTAATTGTATCTAGCCATTGGCTTGTTTGCTGAGGCAATACTCCTAATAAAGCTCTCCAGCATACACTACGAAAACTAAAGAATAAATAAACATTAATAATATACATTAGCTTCGTGTAAATAAATATGAATTTCTTATAAATATCAATCATCAAACTCCAAAAGGAAAAAACTATCAACAACTGACAATTATCGGATATAGTTATCAATTCAAGACTGTAAAAATAATCCTTAATAATTTGATGTGTAAACATCTTAGTCTCATTACTGACGATGAATTGGTCATACAATAGAAATCAACGATAGTAAAAATAATTCATATATCAAGATTCCAACAAAAAGAACTTCTATTATAAGATGGGACATGCAACTAGTTTTTAGAAAGCTGTTCAATATAAAGCAAATAAAATAAATAAAGAGTAAAGATATATAAACAGTTTTAATCATTCCTTAAAAATAACTTAGTTACCGAGAAGATCTAAGCCGGCCTACAACTGCTTTTCTTCTGAGTTCTGTCCAATTATCATCATAAAAATCATAGATTTTGTGCCACTGTTCTCTATAAACGAGGTTATAATGATTATTGTTGTAAATATTAACTATTAAAATAATAAAATACGAACTCATATTTATTTATGGATGTGTATCGTTCAGGGGTGCTCTGAGAAGAATCTCTAGAATCACAAACACTTGTTGTAGTTGAACTAGAAGTTACATCTGTAAGGCTATCAACGCTTTCACTCTTCAGCTCATTATCATTACTTTTATCTTTATCCATATTTATTTTTCATACACTGGCATTATAATTTGTATATTAATTATATCACAAATGCAGGCAAAATGTTAATAATAATTAATAAATATTAAAAATTTCTTTAATAAGTCTGTGAATTCTGTGTTTTGACAGTTACATGTGTTTTGTCATTTTAAGCCACATGTGGATTTTGACATATTTTGACATATTGTCCTACGGGAATTCGGGAAGAAATTCTTTGTCTTTGAATAAAAAATAATAAAGAATTGCTATATGTCAAACGTATTTCCCTATTTCTATAGTATAAATAGTTCAATGTCAATATATAGTTAATATATTTAATATATATAATTATTTTTTAGTTATTATCACAATGCCGGTTATAGAGTCCATCATATTTATATCGTGAGCTCTAAAAAGTCAAAATGTTAACCTTTTTTTAAAATCAACAAACAGGATTTATTAAATCACTTCGAATATCTACAGTCATCAAATTTGTTATGTGTGTTTGTGAATTATTTCAATATGATGTCGATACCGATACATTTCACGTGGGATGTCAA